GTCACGGGTATCCCGAGTTTGGGCCCGTAATAGAACAGTGCTCGGATGAAGGGCCTACATTCTGATGCTGTGATAACTCCTCGGCGTTTCTGATCCTGCATGTAAACGGAGAGAGAGAGAGAGAAAGAGAGAGAAAGAGAGAAAAAGGACAAAGAAATGGCGTCATTCTAGGGTCTACATACCTCTTATTAACCGAGTTCAAGGTCCGTACTTAGTTATGGACGCGGGCCATAAATTCGAGCGAAAAAACTAGGTTCCGTAACTTACAGTACGCATCAAAAAAAAGGATGTTAGTAGGTTATTTGTTTTATCTCTGGGTTAAAATCGAGGGGGGAAATTTCAACTTAAACAAATCTTTGAATTTAGAGGGCCGTACAGGGAAATACGGCTCGATAAATCGACCAATCATTGCGCACGTTGTATCCGACAGGTATATTATTATAGTATAACTAAGTAATCGTGATTTTCGAAGAAATGATTTACTTCTAGATGTAAAAGCGAAATTAAAGTGGTAAAGAGTGTCTTTTTTCTCGCCAAAATAAGCCTCGAGAAGGGATTAATTTCATGCAAGGGATTAATTTCATGGTTTCTTTTAGATGAAGATCAAATTATGCTTGAAGATAGAGCTATTAGTTCTACATAGCTTCTACGATTGAAAATTTATCATAACTGTTTATCAGCAACGATCTTTAGTTTGGGACTGGGAGAAATTACAAGCAGAGAATTCATTAGAACTTAAAGATAACACAAATAATGGGGTAAGACGGCAGGAAATGTGATTGAACAAAAAGCGATTGGTGTAATTTTTCATTTGATTTGTTGAAAGAGCGCGAGTTATTTAGAGCGAAAGAGAAAAAAGCAATTATCGAAACAATCCCGGTTTTTTTTCCCCATAACCAATTGAAAACTGTTTAAGTTGCGTTTCACTGAGCCATAGTATTCTTACCTCTGGTAAAACTAGGAGAGAGTTTAGAACTGCTCTGTCAAAGTAACTGAAGAATCAAGGGATAATAATTTAACTAATGAAGATAAAGCTCCAAAAAAAGGAGCTATCAGGGAAAATAGCTGTGGAGCGCATTTCAGTTGAATGTGGCAAAACCTACAAGAGGTCTGTTAAAGAGGCCAATCAGAACAGAAGGTAATATCACAAGGGGTTAGTAAAAACTCTTCTTACACAGCCGGTAGCGCCCGTGGGCAGTATGAAGCGAATCCTGTGTTCTTATTGGCTATCCGAGCGAGCATCATGGGCCCAACTTGTCCGTTGGTATCACCCGCCATAGCTTGATCCCGCACAAGAAAAGATTACGTCGAATGGACTTACAAAGTTCGTGATTTTTGGACAATGTCGGCGATGGAGTCGCAAAAAGCGGAAGAAGACAGTTAAAATAAAGATAACATTAAACGAACCTTAAGAGTTTTTTGTGATACAAACACAGTTCGACTTCTCTCCCGGCTCTCGAAATAAACAAGTCATTCTTGATTCTTATTGTATCGAAACTTTTTTTCTGTATCATAAATCTTTTATTGACCAAGCTTGTTAAGTCAAGATGGCTGGATATTGGCCTTTTTCTTTTTTTTTTTTTTTTTTAATTTTACTACCTCGACTTCGTCTCGGTCCATAAAAACGCGAAAAAAAATTCAGCCATTCTTATCCCACGCTTAGTCAACAACGCATATATAGTTAAACTAGCGAACGGTTAGGAGCGTAGGAGATCGCTGAAAACTAAATTGTGATTGTTTTAAATTTATCATCTGATCGGTTGTGAATTCGAAGCTGGCGCAAGTTTTCTGGGAAAATCGCAGGAAGTCGTAGAACAAAACCAAATTTTGAACAGGTAACTTTTAACAATTAATTGAAGAAACTTAAAAATATCCTTTCAGTAAAGAACATTTCACTTCAGGAGTTGTACGTTGAGTTTCCACTTTAAAAGTACCTGCCGGTTGGGGAAAGATTCTCTTCTTTTACGAGGACATCAATTCCGAAGTCGACTCCAAAACAGGTCGTCTGTTAAAATACAAGGTAAAAATTGAAAATATTAATATTTTCATACTATAGTATTTTTACTGCTCCATAAAAGATTCTAGTCAAAGGTTTCCTTTCTTATCAGTTTGAAAGCGTTGCAAAACGGGCAATTTTCAATTAATTTGCGAAAGTAATCCGATATTGCATTAGTTTTGCGTTACTTTGCTCTGTGATTGATATGACTGGCGCTGTCTTTAGTTTGGCTCTGCTTTTACGACACTCAATCGAAAAGAGAACTCAACACCTTATTCAATAGTTCTACTTATAATACGCGCGGATATTTCGCGAGTTGCGTCGTATTTTTCCGGGTAGCATAAAATCGCTCCATACGACCGACTAGCCGAATCATATTTACTCAGAAAAGAGCCTCACAGCTTGTTTTAACCGTACCATATACATCAACACATGAGCAAGCTTAAATGCTTTATGAAGAGAAAACGTAGACCGAGACGACTTACAATTTTACGATAAAAGTTTGAAAAACAGGACAAACTTACCAGGCATGGAGTTGGCCGAAATCTCTTTTTCATTCTCACTCTAGCCATGTAAATGTCAGTTAAGGCCAGTTCTTCTTTGCATTCCTTCATGTTTCAGCTCTCTTGGCTGAAATTCTGAATAAAATTTGAACAAAACTATACAACCGTTTTCCCGTAAGGAACAAGAGAAGTGATTAAGAGGTATTGTGTCGTGTTTTAAAAATTTCACGTCATCGTGACGTCACAAACACAATTGTTTTTGGTGACGCGCGAGCTGCTTGTTCCCAGTGCCCTCTCCTCACCTGAAGTGGCTTTGAATAATGTTATACCAGAGGTAAATTTACGCAGTGAGCCTGAAAAAATATACTTTCCAGCGACGAATTTACTGACATCTAAAGAGACACGAAGAAAAACGGTGGAATTTTTCCAGCAGAAAACACGTACAATATTAGCAATATACATATAGTTTCAGTTCCAGTTCTTCCACGCCTCTAGAGATGCAGTTGAGTTTTTTCGTTTTTCCCAAAAACCAACTGAAAATGAAATGAAAATTCAGCAAAATCCCTATCACAATTCTCGACAAAGTGATAATACTATGGGTTGAATATCTACTCAACCCGCATCGCTGAACAAGACCTAAAAATAACCTCATGCGTTTTCTTTAAGGTTTATGAGCCGATGGAAAACATCAACTGAAGACTCAGTCTCCCATAGTACAAAAAAATCCCTCAATCTTCGCCATCGGTTTTATCTAAGTACACGAGTAAAATAAACACCCACAGACTTAAAAGGAATCATATTTAATCTTGCTTTTCATCTCACAGTATATCTGAACCTAATTTTATTTACAGCCTCTTTCGTTTGAATGTGTGTTTCATCTTGTCTTTAAAAACGAACTTATCGAAGCATTTACAGCAACGTTGAAGAATAAAAGGAGTTTTTAAATTCTCATCACCTGCGCATCAGAGCACAAACGATCAATTCAGACTTCTCGCAACCACATCACAAATAAACTGATGCAAATGTAAATAAACGAGTAAGGAAACAGAAGTAACATTTGCTAGATTAGTCATACTTCATAAACGGAGAAAAATATCTTTACAGTTGGGTTAAAGAACGTAGTATAATTGTGTTATCACTAAGGGCATTCTCCTCGACTTATTGCACTTTTTCTCATTTTTTCCTGCAAAGAAAGGCTAAAAAAAAAACAGTTTTTGTGAATCTCCAGGTAGGAAGTAGAGAAGTTAGGATCTGAAGAATCCGCCGATTCGATCGTAAAATTTTTATCGCTTCTGGAATTACTGCGCACAATGAGAAATTGTCTTGCCTCTCTTTTGATGGTGTTTTATGTTGGCCGTATGTATAGCACGTGATCGAGTTTTCCTCCAGTCACAACGAGCTAGGGCTGGAATTCAGTCACGCAAGTGGCCTGCGTGCTGAGCACGTGATCGATAGTTTTCCTCCAATCACAGTGTACAAGGTCTTGAATTCAGCCATGCAGTCAGTTGCGAGAGTTTTCCTCCAATCACGACGAACAAGGTCTGGTATCCAGTCATGCAGACGAGTCACTTTGCTCTCTACCAAGGACTAAGTCCGCCTGTTCAATGATCTACAAAGAGAAAAAAAATCGAGTCGTTAAAAAAAGAAAATCCACCCAACGAAAAATGTCTGAGCCAGGCAAAAAAGAAAAAAACCGTCAGGAAGATAGATTCACCAACACAAGAAATGTGCTAATAATTCAGAGCAAACTTTGCTGAATTGAGCTTTCGGCTCTTAGAACACTACACGAGAGTTCCACCCTATGGATATTTTTTCTAGGAGATTCTATCACAAAGACAAATTCTGTATGAAATGATAAACTTTGCCACACTAATATGCAGTAGTTATCACAGTACACCTTTCATACTGACTAGCAAAGCTACAAAGCTTTGCATGAAACTCTTGAATCGCTCTTGAGAATGACTTTCATACTAAAAATGGCCGAATTTTGAGTATTTTCAAGTGCAAAATGATAATACTTCTACTCCATAAAAATCTTCTGTTTTAGCTGCAAATTGTAGACGCATCTTTAAGCTTTAAAGAGCCATGCGTTGATTTAGAAGTAAGCACTTCTAAAACTCAGAAAAGTTAGTTTTACGAAGCCTAGTGGGCCAGTTTTCGCCCATTCTTCTCAAATTTAGGACTCTTCAAAACGAGGTTGCGTTTATCGGTTATGAATAATTAACGAGGTCCACGCATTCTGCACGATGTTACGGCTCATAAGCTTTCATTTTAATGGTCACTCGTTAGGGTTTCACTCTCAGACTTAACCCTTAAAAATTAAACCCATCTGGAGCAAAAGACATTATCCCATAAAAGCAGTGCTGAGAATCTTGAAATGAAGTTTGCGGAGGAAAAAAGTTGACTCACCGGATCAAAATTAACATTGGCGAAGAGCCCCTGAATAAACCTTCTGATGTGAAGCTTGAATTTGTACAAAGCCAAAATGTCTGACACTTCACAGTAAAGACAAAGATCTTGAAACAAGAGAGCGCACTTTTCCCTCAACCTGTAAAAATATTAGTAACCTTAAAAATGTTCTCTTCACTTCTCTTTCGTTCCAGTACGAAATTCGCCCCGAAGTCACGTGAACAGCGCCCATCTCTTAATAGTTTTGTTATCAGGGTTGCTTATTCCTAGGGGGGGGGGGATTTTGCGAGGATTGGGGTGGGTGTCACATGGGTTTCAGGGAAAATGGAGTGAGGATCATTCGCGGCTAACAGCGTATAAAGGGGGACACTGCAGAAATAATTGAGGGAGGGTGGGATCAAAAGAACATTGTAAGCCCTATAAGTAAGGGACCACCCCCTCCTCCCCCTCGCCTCCCAGGCGAGGGGGAGAGGAGGGGAGCAGCCCTAATACATGACTTACTTCATAAGTTCTTCCTGATGAGCTCGAGAAGCCACCACGCTGCTCAGAGACGTCACGATTCTCAGGATTTCAGCACGGAACAGTCGTTTTCCTTCGGTGGTGTTTTCATCCAGTTTACTACCTTTCGCTAACATGCTGGTCGCTGTTACCGACGAGTCACTTTCCGATTTGGCGAAGGAAAAGGCAACCGCTGAATTCACACTTTCGCCCTTGAATCGGAAAGAAAAGTTACTTTGTTCTGTCTTAAAGCAGATCAAAAACCAAAGTCAGATGAGGAAGATGGTGAAGTGTCATTCAAATGAAAGAAACGTTGGTGAAAGAAAAGTTCGCGAGAGCTCGGCATCGCTGTCATGCATGCAAACGAAGAAGTTTCACCGCTTGCCATTCTAGTTCGCAGATTTGTTACTGAAAAGTGCAGGCAAGAGGAAGGTCAAAATTGAACTTAAAACTCATGGGTTTTATCGTGTAACTTTTTCATCCAAGACAGAAGAGCAGCTGGGGAACTGAGGACATAATGAATGAAACAAAATATCATCTTACATTTGCCTCCATCACAGGTGGTAGTTTCGTCCACTCTCCATCAGTCATGTTATCCGAGGACTTTGTTGTGTCCCTTCCAGTCCCCACTATTTTTGTGTACATGCAGCCGAGGCAGCGTGACTTATCGTGGCTAGAATGACTCTCTCGTTGTGTGGGGTTGACAACAAAAGGTGGAAGAAGAGTAGGTGTAGCCACGAAATGGTCCGCCCAGGAGCCTTGGAACTCGTATGGTTCAGTCTGTTGTGGAGCAGTCAAACCAATCAATCAGTTCAACAAAGGCAAATGCTGTCAGTCGGTCATTGAGTCAAGAAGTCAATCAAAGAGTTGGTCCTTCAGTAAGTCAGTCCGTCAGTAAGTCGGTCAGTCACTCGGTCAGTCAGTCCGTGAGTCAGACAGTCTGTTCATCAGAAAGCCAATAAATCAATGAGCCAGTAAGTCAGTCAGTCATTACGAACAATTCTTAATACATCAGACTTTCCTTGAGATCATTTCGTTGAATTCCATGGCACATCCTCACTGCGTATAACTGCGCACTTGATTAGCGAGCGCAAACTTAAAAAGACAGCTTTTTCTTTATGGCAAGAGGTCACCATAGTGATAAATCATCATTTTCTCGCAAACGAGCACGGTGACCAAACGTTTTGACTCTTTCTTTGAATTGAGCGATAACTTCTTTCCATCAAACAAATATAAACCAATTCTCAGAGTAGCAAGTACTCGTTAGTATAATTATAATGATATTATGAGAATTATAGGGGTATCTCCAAGGTATTACTGCTCCTAAACGAGGAT